ATTCACTCTCCCTTTAGTGGTTCCAGAATTAATTTGGACGTGGTTGTTTCAGTAAAAACACATATTCCCATACGAATAGGTTTGTATTCACTTCTATTATTCCTTTTTATCAACATGTTTACGTTAATGAAAAGAAAACGAGGAATGAACTGAACAGATATTTTCGTAAGGTCCGGAAAACCTCTGCCAAACTAAAGAATATTTGGTCATTCTGTAAGCCACGTGGTTCTTGGTTATGTTGATGTATGGCCTATAAAATGAACACAAAAAACTTGGGAAGAAATCGAGCATGTGCGCAAAAAATAAATGTAATGGGTGTGGCATACATAGTTGCCACAATGTCCATGGAGGTGCAAAAATGGCGGCATACATAGTTGCCGCGCTGTCGTCAAGGTGTTAATATTGCATTTTCGCATCCAAATACATCCGCTAGCACCTAGCCACTACAGCCTATCGCATCAACATGCAAATGCAATCCTGAATGAAAGGTTAGAGACGTGACATATTCAAAAATTCATCTGAACTCCGGAAGTACATACTATGCGCTTGTAATACGTTTGTACGCATTTTGATTAGATTACACCAAATTATAAACGTACCAGTATCCGTGAGGACGGAATTAAGAAAATACCAGGATCTGCTCAACATTTTTTACCATGTGTCACGCATAATTCTGCATTCGTTTACAGAAATTGCACGCTCTCTGTTACACATATGATCAACTTTTTAGCACGTGTGCCAGCTTTGAGTTGGTTTAATATGGTATGAATACTATGATTATGATTATGATTATGATTATGATTTATTATTGGTGTAATTGCAAACATAAACATGAGCTATCCTCTAACCTAAGCTGTTTTGCTGTCTTATCTTCCACCTTCCCCTGAAAAAAAAACTCAAAAAATGATAACTTCACTGATATGTCCGTTCTTTTTCGGAAAAACAATGATGAGGAAAGTTTCAAAGGCACAGTTCCCTTCGCCAGTTGTAGGAGAGCGCCACACTTCGCTGGCAGCAACTGAGCTTTTGAAAACGACTGGAAGATTGAAATATTGTCAAAATGAATTTCTTCATCTAACAACCTTGCAGCAGAAGTATAACAACACAAACAGTAACGAATATGTCAAGGTTTCATGATGAGAGGGCTTGAATTTGGAAGGGAAGCTTGCTTACATTTCCCAGCTTTGCCATGTTCTTGCAGCTGATGTTGGTAGTGTTGCTTTGAAAAGAATGAAGGCATCCAGAAGAACATCCTCATTCAAAGGCAATCGAAAGTACTCGTGTTCATTTTCTTACGAAGACATTTCAAGAATCTCGAGGACAGATAGGCTCTTCACAGTGTTCAAAAGAGGACTCGGTTAGAGCCTCTAGGGGTTGCGTATCCGATGAAGAAAACCCTTAGGGAAACGAGTTTCAATTCAGCAGCGACACTAAATCAACAAACGGAAACTGCTTATAAACGGCCTGCAAGTGTGTGGAGCAGACAATGACGACTGAAATCACTTCCCTACTCGTATTCAGCTCATTGGTGTGCAGGTAATGTCATATGTAACTAATTTAGAATTGACGCCTAAATTTAGACCGATTTTGTTCCCTTCTTTCACTACGGTTGATTTCAGTGCACCACGGTGGATATGCACTTCCACCACCAATACCTGGTAGGTGCTTTCTTTCCATTTTAAGCACCTCAATGAACGTTCATGGAAA